ATATGAAAATCTTGAAAATAGACGGTCTAGATAATGTGTTGCAAGATGCACTATTTTCAAGACTCAAAAAACTTTCTTTTTCCATATTCATTGATCTCGATGTTGAGATGATTAATTAGAGGGCTTTGTCAACATTTATGATAGAATTTTAAGGTACATTTGTGATTCTACATTTTAAGGTTGCAACCTTATATAAACTTTTTCCCTTCCTTTTTTATATAAGGATTGTCTATCGGAAAATTGTTTCATGCGGGCTGGACCGCATTTTTACCTATGCGGTCCAAAAAGCGTAAAACATCCATCTTAAAGTTAAATGGATGCACGTAGGTGTTCCATCTAAAAACAATGGAAACAAACGGTCCAAATGTTTTCTTACTATAACTGTATTACTAGTTTTTTAAATTTATTTATTTATTCATATTCATGTCTTTAAAAATTAAGTCCTAAAATCAATCTCAAAAATAGATTTATTAAGAGGCCAGCATTTCTACATATGCGGGCTTAGCCGCATAGAAACCGGGTCCTTGTGTACCAAGAGAATATTTATCTTAAGAAAGTTTATATAAAAATGCAACCTTAAAACATAGAGTTAAGATGCACCTCAAAATTCCATTATAAAAGGTTGTTTTGATATTGGAAAACCCTCTAATTGATCATCTTGATATTGAGATGTATGAATATGAAAAGAAAGAGGATTTCTTAGTGTATATTGCAACACATTATTTGGACCGTTCATCTTCAAAATTTCCATGTGTTTATAAATCTAATTAATTTTAACCATTTTGAAAGTTTAAAATTTTATAATTAGAAATGACAATAAATTCTCAAGTCATCCTAAGAATTTTTAATAACAAAATTATATTTATGATAAAATTTAAGGTTGCAACCTTATTGAAACCTCACCTTTTTTATCTTTGGTCACAATCATTATTGTCCCTTATATTTCAAAATGAGGGGTTGGAAGAGTGCCTTTTGATAGATACAAAGTTCCAAAAAAATATACTTGTTCGTGTAACTCACTCAAAGCCATCAAATTTAAAATTGAATGCATGAAAATGATTATGACATCCATATACAAAAGATAAAGGGTGTGGTTTTTATAAGGTTTAAACAATTCAACTAAGATGCACCTCCAAAATTTATCATAGCATGTAATTTTGATGGAAAAAATTCTTAGGATTATCTGAAAATATGTTTTTATCTCTAATTATAAAATTTTAAACTTCAAAAATGATTAAAATCAAGTAGATCTATAAACATATGAAAATCTTGAAAATGGACGGTCTAGATAAATAGTGCATCTTGTAACACATTATGGTCTCTTTGTATTAAAATGGACGGTCTAGATAATGGTCTCTTTGTATTAATATCTTTTGGGAAAAGGTCCTATAAGGTTGCAAACTTAAATGTAGAAGTACAGATGCACCTCAAAAATCCATCGGAAAAGGTTGTTTTAATGTTGAAAAACCCTTTAATTGATCATCTCGACATCGAAATACAAAAAAAAAGATTTTGAATCCCAAAAATAGTGCATCTTCCAACACATTATCTAGACCGTTCATTTCAAGATTTTCACATGTTTATAGATCTATATGATTTTAACTATTTTTTGAGTTTAAAATTTTATAATTAGATATAGAAATACATTTTTAGATAATCCTAAGAATTTTTTACACCAAAATTACATGTTATAATAAAATTGGTGGTGCGCCTTAATTGGATTGTATAAGGTTGCAACCGTAATGAAACCGCACCCATATCTTTTATATATTGTATAATATGTATAGGATACTACAAAACACCTATAGGCGAAAATAAATAGTTATTTCGTCGACCCTCTTCACCTTCCAAAGTTCATCGCACGGTCACGACTGTCCAGTAATGTTTCATTTTTTATTTTTTTTCTAAAAATCAGAATGAATTGAAATTTGAAGCGTATGTTCATAAAAAATAGGTGAATCTACGAAAAATATAAAAAATATATATATATTTTATGTAAAAACAATTGACCAAATTATTTCGGAGGCATTTTGGTCAAAAACAATTCTTGAACTATTTTTTTATATATTTTTATTAGGTGCGACTCACGAAGATGTACATACGCTCCAAATTTCAAATCATTCGGATTTGTAGAAAAAAAATGAAAAATAAAATACTATCAGACAATCGTGACCGTGCAATGGACTTTGGATGGTGATGAGAGTAGGCGAAATCACTGTTCATTTTTACCTATAGACTTTGGAAAGACTTATATATATATATATATATATATATTGATATTGTATATGCTATTATATATTTTATATCAAGTTGGGTCGGGCGTAACCTGGACCCCCGAACCTCCCACTAGGTCCAAAATATGGAGCCAAACCTAGTCCAGGTTGAACCGCTGGGTCAGAGGGTCGACCCAACCCCGACCCCATTGCTACCCCTACACCCTTATATTTTGGCTAGGAATACCATATAAAGAAGAAAACCCCAAAAAAAAGGCCAGGAATAACCAATAAAGAAGAAAAACCCAAAAAAACAAAATTTATTTGGAGATCAACATAAATATGTCTTGGGAAATCAAAACAAAAGCGCACCTTAGAAGAAGATGCAATTTTAGTGCCAAAAATCCTTGCTATATTCATTGCAAATTGTGAAATTTAGAGTCCTAAAATTGGAGAAGATCAATAGATTGATTTATTGTTATATTTATTGATAGATTGTTTTGGAACTTTAGGTCTCAAACCGACATTTCGATATAGTAACTGGTTTCGAACTTGAAGTTCGGAAAAAAGTTTAGTCAAAAACAATTAAGTGTCCATGGTTCCATACTAGAAGCTCCAAACCATCTTTTTATATTTATGGATAGATGTTGGTTTAAAACTTTATGCATTGGATGGTTTTTTAACCAGTCCAACCTTTTTTAGGACCCTGTTTATCATCATCCACATTCCAAGGCCGCAAAGAAATATAGGAGGAGAAGGTCGATTTTAAAGGAGTTTATTTTTACATCTCTTAGGTGTCATTTGGATACTTGGAAATATATTTTTAGAGATATTATTCTAGAGAAATGGCACACTTTTTGTGTTTGGATCGAAAATTTGGGACAAAAAAGTATTTCCACCTGAAATTATTTTCCTCTTTCCAAGTTAAAAATAAGGAAATTTCGTTTACAATCGTAAATTGATTTTGTATGAAGATTTCCCCATTATAGAGACGCCCACTTTATAAAATACAATTAATTCGACCAAAATATCTCCACAAATTAGGGAGAGATACTACCTCAAAATTTAAGTTTTAGAGAAGGTATCTTAAAATTTTAGAGATAGAAACTATATATAATTTTTGAGAGAAACTGCCTAAAAATTTGTATAGAGATAAACTATCTTAAATTTTAAGTTTTAGAGTGAGAAAGTATTTTAAAATTTTAAATAGAAAAACTATATTAAAATGTTGGAGAGAAAGTACCTAAAAAACTTTAGACAGAGAAATTATCTTAACTTTTACGTTTTAAAAACTATCTAAAAAAATTTAGAGAGATAAACTTTCTCAAATTATCTTAACTTTTATGTTTTAAAAACTATCTAAAAATATTTAAAGAGATAAACTTTCTCAAATTTTAAGTTTTAGAGAGAAAATACTTCAAAAAATATAGAGAGAAAAAATCTCAAAATTTTTGGACAAAGAAATTATCTGAAATTTAAAATTTTAGTGAGAAAAACCATCTCAAAAATTTTAGAGATAAACTATCTCAAATTTTAAGTTTTATAGACAAAAAGTAGTTGAAAGTTTTTAGAGGGAAAAACTATATCAAAATTTCTAGAGAGAACCTATCTCAAATTTTAAGTTTTAGAGAGAGAAAGTACATGAAAATTTTTAGAAAGAGAAAATATATCAAATTTTTAAAGAGAGAAACTATCTTAGATTTTAAGCTTTAGAGAGAGAAAGTACTTCAAATTTTAGAGAGAGAAACTATATCATATTTTAGAGAAAGATAAATTATCTTAAATTATAAGTTTTAGATAGAGAAAGTACTTGAAAATTTTAA